GTGTGTGTGTGTGTGTGTGTGTGTGTGTGTGTGTGTGTGTGTGTGTGTGTATATTTACACACACCCTCACTACCTTCCCCTTTTGAAAATAATTTAAATTTTCAGTTGAAATGGGGAACCTGTACAGTAACATTTTCATCTCTTTTTCAATTTGCCAACTCTTCCACCTCAGCCGAGCAAAAAGCATTTTTGGAATTATTATTTTTTTGTATTAAGTTTTTGTGTAAATTAAAAATGTGCATGAGAAACGTGGATGTGTGAACGATTTTCCTTCAAATCCCCATTCTGCAGCCAGTGAAGACTTTAGGTTCCAGTTGGGTTGTTTACATGTGTGTAAATGTTCCCCGCATGTCATTGTTGACATTTGATTTCTTATCTCGGCGTTCCAAGAATCCGAACGCCACCACTGGCCTCCTTTTAATACAGGTCTAGCTCAGGCAGTACGTATGAATACGGGTTCTGGCGTACCGTTTAGCCCTGCCATCCTCCTCCGTTGTTCTCCATGGAGACCACAGAAGCCTGTTTGTGCTTTGTGTTACGGCACAGTGGCTGCTCGGCTGCTCAGCCATGATTAATTCAGGCAGGCCTCAGGGGAGAACAGCCAGGCTGGGTTACCCAGCCAGGGCTCTGGTGTCTAGCGGCCATAAAGGCAGTCGGCTTTATGGCGGCTTTTAGCCGCAGAGCTCTCCTTGGCTGTAGCCGAGGCTGGAGCTGGCAACCTCTCCCACCTGTTCCAGAAATAGAGCAATGCAAACGATTGAATTGAACAATTTAGGAAATTGAAATGTTGTAAAGCTCTTTGCTGTGCCCCAATGGATGCATGAAATGTCCTCACAGCTATAGGAAGTTGTTTTCAATTCACACCAAGGTTCAAAGTATCACAGTTGATTAAAGGTGTGTTTATAATGTAGACTATACAGATTTATTTTGTACCCAGCAACAGCATGGAGATAACCAGCTGCTGAGAGGTTTCATACCGGCAGCAGGCTTGTATTGTGATTCAGCTGGCACAGTCGGTGAGCGCTACATAGTTTCCAGGTTTGGAGCAGAGCGCTGCCTGAGATAAAGTACATTTGAATATTACAGTTCATTTTTTTTTTTTTATGTCCACAGACTCTTAAAATGCACAACTATAGAGACTCTGTAAGAGATCGAGGTCTTTCTGGATTATACCCTTTTACTTGTGAGTTAAAACCTCTCCCTTCTGTCTTGTAGCTCGCTTTCACCTGTATTTGAACATTTGAATAATACTTTATTTGGCAAAAAATGAGCCACAAAAGGACTCGTAAGCAGAGATTTTAGAACGATATTGTGAATTTCAGAATATAATGCATCTCACCTCAACTGATGTTGAAAGAGCCAACACATTCTATTATAACGGACAACTTCACAGGTCTTTATTTATTTTTTAATCATTAAAAAATACACATACTAGCCGATAACAGCCTACAGTTCCATCATTGTTGGTGACTATCTGTATTTCACATGTCGTCAAAACTATGAGAAGGTTGTTTGTTTTTCCTCTTCACACGGCACGTTTTTGCTTATTTTCTCATCGTCATTTAAATGTAAAGTATTCAGTTCACAATGAATGAAAAGTAAAATGTGACAAATCCCCAACACTGACAATCCAACAAACGTTAGTTATTTTTAATTTATTAAAAAAAACAGACAAAACAAATCCTCACTGGCTGTCGACAAAATCTCATTATTTTAGCATTCATTTAAATCAGGATTGCCACAAATGTCTTGTAAGTAGAGCTGTGGGGGTGTTACGGTTGTCTATCTGTAAACAGGACCACACACCCTGTGATGCCGAAGTAATTGTTCAATTTGTGTTCAACTTTTCTGATTGTAGGGCATTGACAAATCGGGTCCAACCTCGGCCCTGTCCTGTATGTGTGCCAGGCGCGTGTCACTATAGTGTGGCCCTGTGTTCCCGTCCTCGTGTTTGTTCTCCGTCTCCTCGGTCAACTGACTGATGGATGGATGACTCGCACAAAGTGTCAGGCTCATAAATCAGCTGTTACTGTGGCAAAATGGCACCCGGCATCCATTAAGGGCAGACCTGGCTGCAATCTGTCCCCCAAGTTAATAAATGGTGCTCTGTAGAGAGATGCATGATTTATCGTTGACTTGATAAGTGACAAAAACAGGGAGGAATACAGGGTGCGAGTGGGGCATTAATTGATGCATGTGTTATTGCGTTATTTTGATTGAAATTATTGTTTGTCAATTGTTTTATCATAATGTGAAAGCTCTGATTTGCAGCCACAATTCCGGTGACAAAAACATGAAAAATGAACAAACCTCTGAACAAAATGCATTTTTAGCAGATGATGGGCTATGACGAAATTATTTGATTATCAAATAAAGTGATTTATCAAAGACAATTGCTCGTCATTCTGTGTTTTTAGTTTCTTTAATCTGAGTGTTTGCTGCTTTTATATCTATATCAGAATATAGATGTGTCGAAATATCTTTGCGTTGGCGATCTATTGGGCGGTCATGGAAAGCAAACATCTCATTTGGCTCTCTACATTTTTCCGATTTTTTTTGATGCATTTGTAGACAAAACAATAAGTTAATTACAAAAGAAAGGGACAGATTAAACTGCTATTAATATGACTCGACACTTTAAGTTGTTTGTATTTGTAATATCTGTGAATATTATAGCATATTTGTTACATTACATGTTATAAAACAAGGCTTTATGGTGTGTAGATAAAGTAGTCCTGCTGCATGGTGATCAATGGGATCATTGTGGGGACGTTGATGCTTGACATGAAACAATGACTAGATATCTGTGAGAGGGCGTTGAACGGACAAAAGGTGAGGTGTGTGTCGGTGTTATCGTCGCTTTATCCCTCGTCTTTAAGAACGTGTGGCAGCAGCAGCGTTACTCCAGTTTCCCCTCCTTCCCTATCTTGTACTCAACACGCACTCTCAGCGTTAACCCGACCTCACTCACTTTAATGGGACAGTTTCCATTCCCTGCACCAAATCATATTGTTTCCCCATCCAGCCCGTCTAATGGCCGAGTACGACTATCATGTTCATGTCCAGTCACACCACCTTGATTCCTAACATGACAGCCTTGCTCACAATATTAATTGGACATCAACATTGTTATTTTCCTTATCTTTTTCTATTAGGCAGGGTTCAATAATAAAAATGTCGTCAAAACTATTAAGAAGTGACAAATTATGACATTTATGGCTCATAGAATTTATACCCGCACACAAAGAGCATTACTCCTTTGCAATAAGACAAGCAGTCTATCTCAGCAGCTCTGAACAAGCGTTAGCTGGAGGCTGACTAACATGGTGGGACGGACGCTTTTACTTCCTCTCTTGCCTCCATGAATACAGGTTTTTTTTTTTTTTTTTTTTTTTTTTTTTTTTTTGTTGTCATTCAAGATACAGGCTTGTTTAATTGGCTGTGAAAGAAAATGTTTATTTTCTTCTCCCAACACACAATACTTTCCTAAATACTGTTGGCAACTGGTGTTTTAGTATAGACATTAGGAGGAGATCCACATTACTGTACTTTATCACTGTGCATTTTCTTGTATGTCATAAGTAAGAATTAATTGTGTCTGCAAGGCTTTGTCAGATGCTGTTAGTATTTGAGGTCCTACAGGAACAAAAGACCTCTAAATACACCCCTCACTGTCTGTGTCTGTCTGGATGTCTCAGTGAGTTCCACTGACGTGGCTTCTTCTTTGGTATCTTCTGCGCTGGGTTTATCACGGTGTCCCGAGGCGAGCTGTAAACAGTTGAATCTACCGTCAAACAGACAAACAAAGGGACTGACAGAGACCTGTGTTTCTCCTCTGACCTTTAATCCACATGGCTAGCAGCCGCTCTGATGCACGATTAATCATCTGCTTAGGAGTGTGTGCACACACACAGTACATATGCCCTTTTTGAGACTCTTGGTTGAAATTTATTGCATTTTTTTGGGAGTTTTACTGCTTGTTTATTTTCTTCAATGACCGACTGAAACACCTTTTCTCTCACCCCTCGTCACCTTCTCTCCCTTGTTCCCTCACTCACTTCTATCTTTGCATCTCTCCTGCAGCTAGTCGGCGGCCAGTTTGACCTGGAGATGAACTTCATCATCCAAGAACCCGAGAGCATTGTGTGCATGGTGGAGCTGTTGGATAAATGTGAGCCCACCTGTCAGGCCGAGGTCTGGAGCATCTTCACCGCCATCCTCAAGAAGAGCGTCCGCAACCTGCAGGCGTGCACTGATGTGGGGCTCATCCAGCTGGTGCTCCAGCGTATCTCCACCACGGACAGCATGATCGCAGGTACTTCAGAACAGCACCTAGTGGAGAAAGAGTTCTTTCTTTTCTTTGCATAGGACACGATGTTTTCTATCTCGTTAACGCAGCATCGTTTATTTTCATTTGGCTTCTCCTGAACTGTGCTTGACCACGACGAGACACAATAGGAGGTGTTTTGTTGTTGTACTTTCCTATCCACTCTCCCTGTCTACAATAACCTCCATATTTTTTGCATAAACCGTGATGTATTGCAGTGAAAGCGGACTCGATCATCCTGTACAGTCTCTCCCCAGAGTGTCAGTCTAGTCTGTTGCCCATCTGCAAATTAGTCTGAATTAATCCTCCAGTGTTCGGCTCAGTGAACTTTTGCCAGCTAGAACAGCGCTGGCCTGGAGGGTTTGTGCAGCCAACCGAGGGTGATCTAGCCCAGCAGTAACTAGGCAGCTGAAAGTAATGTTTATCGTGATATTTACCACAGTGCAACTGCAATGTCCTCAACCTAACAATGGTACAGTAGAACTGATTCATTTACAACTGAAAAGGCCTCTGATGTTAAGCTTTACGATTATTCACTGTTTATTTTTGTGTATTTTGTTACTTTTATTGATGGTAGAATGCTGACAGGAAATGAAAAGATGTGAGGAAGGACATGCAACAATGGTCCCCTGCTGGACATTCACCCGAGGATGTTGTATTTTACGATCAATGCCTTAAACTAGCCCACCACGGCGTCTCAACTTTTGCTTTTTTTTTTTGTTGCATTTAAAGTAAATTTGCAAACAGTCTCTTCCTCTCTTCACATAAAGGTGCCATTCTGAAATACTAGTTGTTAGGACTGAATTAAACAGCTGAGCTTTAATACTTGTGTGTATCAGTATGACTAGTTAACATGGAAAAGACCTGCCAGATATAACAGTCTGCCACTCATTAGATTTGATGTAATGTGGGATGTAATGTGTACATTTGAAGATTTGAACCAAGGGTTGTGTACGTGCACACTAGTCATAGATGTGTCATGCCATGTCTCATCATGAGCCAGTAATAACCAATGAAAAGAGGCTGCACAGTAGCTGGGACTCCCAGATTTTCTTCTCTATTTTAAGTCTCATGTTTGTTTTTTGTTTTTTTAAACTTTGCTCACCCTGCTTTTCTTTTAAATACATCTTAGCTGCTTAACTTCTTATAGCTGTGGCTTCACTGTAATATTTAGATTAGTAAAATGCCAATAATGATTGTAATACTTGTAATATTGATGATTATATCCCTTCGGTTTTTAGCAAACTGCAGTTTGGAGCTTCTGTTGTAACGTGCCATGTTTAACCCCTGTATGACACTGTGTGTGTGTGTGTCTTGCAGACCTACTGGTGGACATGTTGGGCGTCCTCGCCAGCTACAGCATCACAGTTAAAGAGCTGAAGCTTTTCTTCAGCAAACTGCAAGGGGAGAAAGGCCAGTGGGTGAGTCAGAGTTATGCCACAGTGATCTGTCCTGGTTGTCTGGGACCAGCATGAGGAATGTGCGAGCAACACTGCCGTCCCACAGGCCAATGCCCTCGTCAAAGAGACGAGATAAATCACACGACACCGAAATACTACTCCGCAGCATGAGGCTGTTCGTGAGATTACCAAAAAACCTGTTTGTTGTTTTTTTTTTTTTTTTTGCCACAATGTTAAAAAACTTTGAAGAACATTAGTTTTCTAAAATAGGCGTGTTCTTTGTGTGTGTGTGTGTGTGTGTGTGTGTGTGTGTGTGTGTGTGTGTGTGTGTGTG